GGGATGGGGGGAATGTCTAAGCCCGTTTTCCCCGCCTGCATGCCCACATCCTGTGTTTTCCAGAGCAGCCTGTGAGTCTTCCCAAAGAGCTGAGGGGCCAGGCTGTCTGCGTTCCCTTCCCCCTCCCCGTTCCCTTCATTAAATCCTCCCTCCTTCCCTCCTTCCCTCCCTCCGTCCGACCTTCCTCCAGCCTGAAGCAACCATCAGCAGACTCGCATTCCTCGCTCCCTTTCCGGGCCCCACACGGTTTGGGGCTGAGCTGCAGACCAAAGTTCTGCGTCTGACGGCGTCACGATGCAGAACCAACAGAAGAAGAACTTCTGTTGGTTCTGCTGCTGTCCGTAAAATCACAGAAACTGAATCAGTTTAAGAAAAACTCCAAAACCTGGATTATTTTCCTTACAGTTTTCAAATGAAACATAAAATCATAATAAAAATGAAAGAGTTTACTCACAGAACTAAACCAGAAACAGGATGAGAGTTTAACGGCTTTCTGAGAGGTTAAGAAAATAAAATCAGACTTTTAAAATAATGAAAAACAATATTACTCGATGTGTTTTCTAGATTGTGTACTTAATATCAAATGTATTCATGTCAGAAGATAAAACCTGAAAGAACTGAAGCAACTACTTTTACCTTATTTAGTTTTATTCATTTCAAAGTTTCTGTAAAACAGATATTTGAGTCATAATCAACGCTAGCTAAGCTGAGCTCTTCGCTAGGCTAATAATTAGCCTGAAGTCGATAAAACAGTAAAACTGCAGTAAGTTATAGATTTAAAAATGCATTATTTAAATTATGTTTAAAACAAAATAATATTTTGGAGCTTGTGGCTGCGGGTTGAGCTAAGCTAAGCTGTTAGCTGAAGCTACTGAGCGAACAGCAACATTTAGCCACGATGTGAATCCCGTCTGGATCAGCTGCAGATGGAAAAATGTTCAGTTTAATCTTTTGGAATATAAATATTTAAACTACGTTGAGCTGAGCTGAAGCTATGCTAACGGCTAAAAGCTAAGCTGGACATTTCC